ACCTTAAAGGAAAGAGAGTTAAGAGCAATACAAGTAATACTGCTGTGATAGTGGGGATGGTAGTCAACATTTGTGGTTATTGATAGGAGCTGTTTCAGGTAGAGGGGCTATACTTTACTCACAGAAACCCTTTCATTCTAACATTCAGTTGAACATTGCAGAGCCCAGAGCTTCCAAACATATTATGGCATTTACTCTAAATTTACAAAAGTTTATTTGCAATTCTCTGGTCTGCTGGCACCACCCACAAATCTAGAAAAAACTGAAAGATTATCTCTATTTCCTATCTCACTTCCTTCAATGTGCACAGAAGCCTCTCATTTGGTTTTGGTGTTTTATCAACATGGAAGTACCAACGGTTTATCCAATCTTCCTCATTATCAATTTGTAATCCTTCTCATGACAAAATCTCGTCCCCTGTTATCACAACCTGGGTAACATCTACTTCCTTGCTAAATACCAATCAGAACATAAAATTCCTACCATAGCCATATCCCCTGCTTTTGGAGGTAAATCTCCTTTTAGGTTCCTAATCAGCCCAACCCCTCCTTTTACCACTCGTTTATTATGGCCTGATAAGTGGTGATTGGGATTCCCTTATTTATTAGCTGTCAGTCTTTCTTGATAATCGCTCTTTGTTTCTCTGATTTGCTTTTTCAACTATCTTCGGAACATTCTGTAGTCAGCTTGGATCTCAATTGCATTTTCTTTCAGGCACCTGTGAGAGGCACACATTTTTTTCTTTCTCAATTTCTATCCTCTTTTTCATCCAGGGAACTCTAGATATGTTGGTCCTAACTTTCCCTTTCGGGAGAATATACCTTGTTCGTATCCAAACCATTTTTTTTAAGCTAGCCCGTTGTTCAGTTATGTCAACCTTTGGCTCCGTTCTATCTAGCCCAGCTCCTTTCTTGCCCATTGAAGTCAAATGTCCCCCAGCAAATTATTCCTACTCTGGATTGTCCATTGTTGTTTACCACTGTCATCTTAAAACTAAAGTGCTAGCAGTCTCGATTTTCTTGTTAAAAGCCAAGTACTGAAGATACTGGAAATTCAAAACAAAGACACAACTTTCTGGTAGGTCTGATAGCATCAGGTTCTGAAGACATCAAATTGGACTCAAAATATTAACTTTGCTTCTCTCTCCACAGATGCTGCCAGCACATTCTGCTTTTATGTCATTTCTTATTGGACTTGACGTACTGTTGTAGAAAATTCCCCTGAACACAATCTAAGAATGCTTGTTCCTGTTCCCCCCACCTCTGCCCTTAACGCTACCCGTAATTGAAGTCCCCCATTATACCTACGCTAAACACAGAAATAGAACATAGAACAGTACAGCACAGTACAGGCCCTTCCGCCCACGATGTTGTGCCGAACTTTTACCCTAAACCTAAGGTCTATCTAACCTCCACCCCTACCTTATACTATCATCCATATGCCTATCTAAATTGCCTCTTAAATGCCCATAATAAATTAAATGCCCCCAAAATGCTTGCACCTCTACAATTTCCTCGCATGTTTGTTTCTTCTAGATCATTCCCATCAGTTTGTGGTCTAAAGACTGCACCAAGCAATGTAATTGCACTTGTCTTATTCCTTAGCTCTATCCAAATCAATCCTGTCCTTTCTTCAGTACTGCAAACCCATCAAGTCCATACTGATCATCCGCACAGCATCCCACCTAGATCATGCTCCCACCCTAGCCCCATAATTCCACACTTACCACAGCTAATTGACCTAACCAGCACATCCCTGGACATTATGGGGCAATTCAGCATGGCCAATCCACCTAATCTGCATATCAGTGGGTTATGGGAGGAAACTGGACCATCCAACAGAAACACACAGAAATGGGGAGAAGTGTGGAGTTTGCACAAATCAGTCTCCCGAGACTGGAATTGAACCAGAGACAGCTCCCTGGCTGTCAGGAAGCAGTACTAACCACTGAGCTATCATGCTGCCCAATTCTGACATCCCCATAACTTGATGAAAAAATATCGAAAAAGCACTATTTTCAGACCCTGTAAAGTCTGAATAATCTAAGCAGTTACTTCACAGAATCCAGAAACTGCAGATGTAATTTTCCAAGATCATTTGATGGTGCAACTTTTCCAAGAATATTAACTTGACAAAACTGTTTTACAGTGACATGAATAGTACATTAAGCACAATGAATGCAACACAAAGATCACTCTTGGTGCATCTAGATAAAATGTGCTTTGAATGCCACTCTGCAATAAGAAATCTCTTGATGGAATGTACACCAATCAGAAATTAACTGTTCAGAACCCCTGTTTCAGAATGATACTGAAGAAAGATTTTCTACTTTCCGTAAAAATAGAGTAGAAAATAGAGGATATGGTTCTGAAACACAAAAAAAATCTTGAAATATGACGTTCTTTAAGGAGAAGCTACAATTACAGCTTTTATGGAAGAGATTTCATTCCAGTTATATGTTTTATTTTGATCTGTCAGGTTTTCTGAAGCTGTCTGTAGGCCTTTGCAAATTTATATGAAAGCTTAGCCTCGAATCACACACCTGATAAAACATCAGATTAGATTCTTGCTGCTACAAAGACAGAGAAACTGATTCTCGTATGTTGGGATGAGTGTGTGAGAGGAGACAAAAAGGTCTCAAAACTTCTAGTAACAGGAATCACGTACATGTTATAGTATAAAGCAGCAAGGTCACTGTAGTATGAGGGACTAGAAAATTATAGCACTTCGTATGATCTGTAGTGAAATGTAAATGTTTCTAGACCACTTCAAAATGAAAAATGACATTTCATATAAGATTAAAACTGACATTTACATAATTTGGCATTGGCTGCTAGTCCAATTCTAATAGTTTATTGATTCCAATTATGTTATTTGTGATTGGCTTTTAAGGTAATCTCAGTAATACATGCACTGTCAAAACAGCCTTACATCTAAATTTACTGAATTACCAATGATTATCCAATAACAACTTTGTCGACTGAATGCCTTCCATAGTAAATATTAATGTAACAAACAGCATCAGGAATACCTAAAAATAAGGTGTTAACCTGGTGAAGCTACAACACAGGATTGCTTGCATGCCAAATGGAAACAGCATGTAATAGACAGGGCTAACTGATCCCACAACCACTGGATTCAACCAAGAATTGCAGTTCAGCCACATCCACTCATGAACGGCAGTGGACTTTTGAACAACACTCTGTGTAGAAGGCTCCACAAATATTCCCATCCTCATGATGGAGGAGCCCATACATTCCGTGCAAAACTCAAGGGTGAAGCATTTGCATCCATTTTTGGCCAGAAGTGTCATGTGGATGATTCATCTCAGCCTACTCCGGAGGTTTCCAGCATGAGAGATGCCAGTCTTTAACCAATTCAATTACTCCATGTGAGATCAAGAAACAGCAGAAAGCACCAAATATAACAAAGGTGATATGCCATGATGTTATCAGGATCTAAGTATTGACTTGTGCTCCAATACCAGCTGTGCCTCTAGCCAAGCTGTTCCAGTGTAGTAAACTCTGACACCTGCCAGACAACATGCAAAATTGGCTCTCTCGTTGACAGCACTATCAAGTGGCACTTAGAATGGAATCACTTGCTCATTGACATCAGCATGGATTTTGGATTCTGCCACATCCACTCAGCTCCCTTCTTCATTAAACGCATGGTTCAAACATGGATAAAAGTGCTGAAAACCAAATGAGTTGAGTGTGACTGCCCCTGACATCAAGGGAGCATACAGCATTAAGAAGCCCTAACAAAACTAGAGTCAATGCCAATCAGGAAGAAATCTCTGTGCTGGGAGGTGTCATTACGAGAGCAAATAAAGATGGTTATTATGGTTGTTGGATGTCATTCATGTCAGCCACAGGCTATCAGATTAGGAGTTCCTCAGGTTAATGTACTAGGACCAAACATCTACAGCTGCTTTACCGAAGACCTCTCTTCTATCACGAGGTCAGAAGTGGGGATGTTTGCTAATAAAAACAAAATGGTCATAAGCTAGGAATGCTGTAGCAAGTAACTCACCTGCTATCTTTCCAATCTTGGTCTACAATGGACAAGGCACAAGACAGGAGTGTGATGTAATATTCTCCACTTGTCTTGTGAGTGCAGGTGCAAAAACACTCAAGTTTGACATCATCCAGGACAAAGCAAATGATTAGCGACTCAAACACAGCATTCAACTCGAACTGCCTTCATCGCCATACACAGCAGTAGTGATGTGTAGAATCTACAACATGCAATATAGGAACTCACCAAGACTCGTACCAACAGCACCTTCCAAACCACAACCTCTACTTCTTCTTCAATGGCAGGAGATGTACCAAAACTCTATCACCTGTAGGTTTCCCTCCCAATCCTTACTTGGAACTATAACACTGTTGCCTAATTGCTGGGTCAAAATCCTGAAACTCCCTTCCCAACCTCATCGTGTGTGTTCCTACACTCTAAGGACTGCAGTCAGCAATTCAAGGCGGCAGCTCACCGCCACCTTCTCCAGGACAATTACAGATGGACAACAAATGCAGGCCTAGCCACTGATGCTCATATTACCTTGAACATATTAAAAAACACTGATCAAATTATATATGGATTTGTTTTCGTGATCACATTATTTGTAACCTCCGCCCACCTACAGGATATATGTTGACAAAACAACCACAGTCTTGATGCACATTTAGGTTTGTACCATCTTCATAGCAAGATCTCATGACATATTCTCTTTGACTGATTCCAAATATTAATGCTTTGGGCTTTTTGTTTTTTCTGGATGAGAGGTTGGAAGAACATTTTAAAGGGTGGAATTCCTAAATTGTAACGTGGTATTCTGCCAGAAAGTGGAAACTTTCATCTTAAAAACTGACAAGACTGACTTAGGAACAAATAAAATGAGGAATTATCACATACAGCAATCAACAAGTACATTTAATTTTGCTCAATGACTGCCACTTAATTGAAAACGAAGACAATTATTTCATGTGCACACTTACTTAAACAGGATCTTTTTGTAGTAGCACTTGCTCCTCCTAAACACAAGTTTCCTCCTCGATGAACCAATTCAAGCTCCAAATTCAGTCTGTTCAATGAAAATGTAATTGCAATTTATAAATTGAAATTATTTCAGTCTTAATATTCCTCATTTTAAACTTAAAAAGTACATTAAAAAGTATAAAAGATATGAATAAACTGTGACAAGAATAAAATCATTCTGCAATCAGATATTTATATGAGGCTTTGAAGAAAAACAGAAGAAAGTATACTTGAAGTATTTCCTTCCTTTACAATTATAAAACATATTCTATGTTGAACCATCTTCTTCAATAATGTAGATTGTTTTTCTGTGTGCAGGTTTCAAATTCTAAAAATTATAGACCATTATCCCCAAGTCATTAGTTTAATCCACTGAGGTCTCAAATGCAGTCTTAATCCTCTCTGTTGCTCCGAGTAATGTAATTTAACAATGATAATTTTTTCTCTGTACGTTGTCATCTGTTTGGCACTGATAAGAGCTTCTCTGTGACAAGAGAATTTTCTATTTTTCAGGCAGTTTGCTACATTCACTGAACTTCCAAAACCTACCAGCGATGAAGCAGGAACTGAAATTTCAGACTGGCAGACAAGACAGTTAAGTAACATGATTCAGTTCACCATAAGAATATAAATGAGGGACAACATATTTATATATGAGCATCAGTGTACATGCTCTTTATGAAGATTCTGGTCTATTAAGACCAATGAATTTCCTATGTAATGTCTCAGCTTATTGAAAGCTTTAAGAAGAACAGCTTCTATTTCAAGTTTGTATTCATGTATTTTTGGGAGGTTTATTACATTTAGAATCTACGTTGGTTCAAACTTATCAAATACACAATTATGTAATTTCATTACTATTAAACTGAAGTTAGTTGAACAAACTGGTGTTTATTTCTAAAACGTATCAGAACTGAAAATACTTAACTTCCAACGACAACAAATTGCATTAGCCTCTATATATTAAAAGATTTTATTGTTTAGAAGGTTGATTGTTTGATTGATTTTTGTATTTCACTATTCATCCTGACTTTCAAGTTGTTCTTAAAAGAAGTGAACAAATGAATTGGTGCAAGAGACTGCTTAAGCTTTAATTAAAATTAGGCATGGGTAGTAAATTCTGGCCTAGTCAGCAGTACCCACATCCCAAATACAAATGAGAAAAAAATGAAGTCGTCATTCTACTTACTGATGAAGCTAGAAGTCCATATCTTCAAGTTTCAGATGACCACTGCACCTAGCACTACTCATCACTGCACTGATACCATATTTCATTAACAAAGCTACCCTGTCTTCTCTTTCTTCTTGCCTGTTCTTCCAGAACGTCAAATACCCTTCAATACCAAGGTCCCAGTTTTGGTTACCCTGCAATCCTGTCTGCATAATATCTATCAAATCATATTATTTTATTTCTGTTTGTGCAATCAACTCATCTACATTGTTATAAATGCCGTGTGCATTAAGATAAAGAACCATCAATTCCAAATATTTCTAATTTGCGAGCCAACCTGCTATGGGGCAATGTACCAAAGGCTTTCTGAAAGTTCAAACATATAACATCCATAGCACTACCCTCATGCACTGCCTGTATTTGTCAGAAATGATCTGCCCTTGACAAAGCCATGGTGATTGTCTAGTATTCACTTATTTTTCCCTAAATATATATTTATCTTACCATGTATTATGACCTCCATCAGTTTTCCCATTATTCACGACAAGCTGATAGGTCTGATGTTTCTGGAGCTATCCTTTGTCCCTTTCTTAACCAATGCTGTCACATTTGCAATCCTCCAGCCACTGGGACTAATGTGTTTAGGCAGGCCTGGAAACTCTGTCAATGGCTCAGCAATTTGCTTTCTTAACTCTTTTAGCAATCTGGGATGCATTCCATTTGGGCCTGATGACATCTCCACCTGTAGTGCTGCCAGCCCTTGCAGCAACTCTTCTTTCTCTATCAGTATACTGTTCAGTTGCTCAACACACATACATTTTCAATTAGGCCATTGTCACCACCTTCTAATTTGGTAAAGACAGAAGCAAAATATTCAAATAGTACCTTTGCCTATTCTTTGCTTCAGTGAGCAGCTTATCCTGTTCATTCCTTGTGGACCTGCTGCAAAGTTGGGTAGAGTATTTGATGTTTGTAAAATGATGAGGGAAGGGGAAAAGAGTGGGTAGTTCCTTTAAAGGATGATTTTGTTTTAGGCTTGGAGATATAAAAAAAAATCTGCAGGCAGCAGCAGATGCACAGAGAGTTGTTGAAATTGAAACCCTATCAAAGGTCTATAACGTCAGCAGGCAAAACAGCATTTTTACCAAGGCAACAGGTTTTTGAATTTAACCAATTAATCTAAACCAAGTCCTAGACATCAAATCTGATATTTAAATCTGATAGGATTGGTTGTAGGTTGTCAAAACTATTGTAAGAAATTGATAGGTCATCAAGGGTATAAAAGAAAAGGGCATTTAAAAATTGATGAGAGCAAACTGCCATCTGAAGAGAAACTCACCGGCTCTCACAGAAATCTCTAAGCTCTCAGAGTAAGTACTATCTAAATAAAGGTACTATGGCACTCTTAGCTAATAGTCCTGACACAAGAATTCTATGGAGAAATGCCTTCCTGAATGGAAAATAGCAGAGAAGGCAAAGAACATTCCAGAAGACTTGTCCTGGCTATAATCTCCAGAGACTAAGTTTCAATTTATTTTTTCTTAATACTTTGGTTTAAATAAGTGGGACTTGTATATATTGGAACAGCATACCATTAGAATTTTGTTTTATTCAGAAATGGTTAGGAGTAAGGGGGAATTGTTCGGTTTGTTAGTAGTTCTGTCAATTTGTTCACTATTAGAGTTAGATAAATAAATTGTTACTTGTTGCTTATAAAGGGAGTATCAGGGATTTCTTTCATTTAACGACTCCTTTATAATAGATTGGGTATGAGAGGCAGATTATATCACTTTTCACAATTCCTCTAACAGATTATGAGGTGGGGCGAGGCGAGGCCAGCTTCTCTGGGTGTTTTGGTTTTAATTATCAGAGAGGTGTTCACCACCCCTCTGTAACAGACCCCACTCTGTCCTTCAACAATCTTTTACTATTAATATGCTCGGGGAACATTTACTATTTGCTTTAGCACAGCCTACCATCCTTTCCTCATGCTTTCTCTTAGCCTTCCTTATTCCAGCATTAGGGTCTCTCCTGTATTTGTGATATTCTTCCTGATTTCTATTGCTATTACTATTCTGGTATGCATCATATGCCTGCTTGTTCTTCCTCATCAATATCCTTCATCATCCAGGTACTTTAGCTTTGGATACTCTGCATTTATTTCTCCTGGGTATATACACCTTTCCCACACTTTCCTTAGTTATCCTTTTGCTCTTTATGCATTTGGAAATGCTGTTGGGCCTCCTTGATTTAACAGGCCAATGTTTTCTTATCACTTTTTTTTGCTTTCCTAATTTTCTTTTTAGTATTGTCCCTGTACTTTCTATACTCTAGGCTTTCTGCAAAATGGAGCGTTTGATATCAGAAATGAACTTTGCGGCCTTACCCTACACTATATCTTTTGACACACTGAGGGGTAATTTAGATTTGGGAATGTTGATCCTTTTTGTTCCTAAGGATGTGTTATGAACCCTCTTTATTGCTTTCATGAAGAGATCCCATTGCTCGGACATTGATTTCCCTTCACATAGCTCCTTCCAGTTCACTGTTCCTTCATCACATCTCAGCTTAGTAAAATTGGCCTCTTCCCCCAGTTTACAAGTTTTGTTCTTGGCATACCTTTATCCTATTCTACAACCACTGTGTGTTAAGACTCTGTCCACAACTGAATTATGGTCATCACCACTAAAATATCCTTCAAATTATACCCCTTCCACCTCACCAGATTCATTTCCTAAAACAATAACCAGAACTGCACCTTCTCTGTTCAGTACACTACATTCTGACAAAAAAATATTTTCATGCATTTTAAGAATTGTGCACTTGATACCCTTTACACTAAATTTATCACAGTTACAACTAGGGCAGATGAAATCCCCTTTTGCTTCTGCACGATTATGCTTCATTTCATTTTTGCTTCTTTATCTCCTTGTGAATGAATCTGTGGAGGACTCTTGCATACATCCAGCAGTGTCATCACCCTTCCTTTGTTTGCTTTTACGCATGGGATATGGGTATTGATGGCTAGGCCAGCATTCATTGTTCATGTCTATCTCCCTTGAGAAAACACCTTGGAATGCATTAACAACTGCAGTACTCTTCAGAAGGGAGTTCCAGGATTTTGGCCCAGAGATAGTAAAGAAACAATGATGTAGTTCCAAGTGAGGATGTGCAACTTCGAGGAGAACCTGCAGATGAAGTGCTCCAAAGCAGTGGCTGCCATTGCTCTTTGGGGCTGTAAAGATTGCAAATTTGAAAAGTGCTGTCAAAGGAGCTTTGCTGAATTACTGCAGTACATCTTGTAGATGATACACACAGCTGCCCCAATGGTGTTGCACTGGGCGCCAAACAAGCAGGCTACTTGATACCTAGATGGTGATAACCTTCTTAGTGTTGGTGTTGAACGCATCCTGTTAAGCAGTGAGTATTCCTTCACAGACCTGACTTGTGCCTTGTATATGGTGAACAGGCACTGGGAAGACAGGAGAGGAGTTACTTGCTATAGAATTCCTAGCCTCTCACCTGCTCTTCCAGCTAAAATACTTGTACGGCTGATGCAGTTTTGTTTTTGATCACTGGTAACTCCCAAGATGTTGATACTGGGGGAATCCAGCGACAGTAATGCCATCAATTGTTAAAGGGCAAATGGTAGATTCTCTCTTGTTGGTGATTACCATCATCTTGCACATGTGTGGCATATCAGCTTGAGCCTGAAGGTTGTCCAGGTCTTGCTGCATATGGACATGCTTCAGTAGCTGAGGAGTCACAAATGATACTGAACTTGGTGCAAATTATCAGCAAACATCCCCTGAGCCAGGGAGGACAGGAAGGCCATTGATGAGGTAGTTGAAGATGTTTGGCACTGGGCCACTAGC